AAAACGCACCTATGGTGTTTTACACCTATGTATATATTATCTCAAAAACTGGCTATAAGTAAAAATGCTCTACGCCCCTAAAAACCTCTTCCAAAACCTTAACACTATTAAAGTGTTGAAAATATTAAATATAAACTTTTTATAAATTATGTTAATAAATATTTAAAATTAACATTTTTACAAAATGATTATACTTATTTACTAAAAAATTCCCGAAGAAAATTATTAGTAATATATTTTATTGACTTTAAATTTATGTAACAAATAACGCCAATCTATTCATGTATTCAATGAAGTAAATTCATCATATATCGTTAAGATTGCTTCTAAATAGTCGACAAAATGCGATATTTCTCAGGGAATAAAGCCGAAGTTTTAAATTTTCAAACTTGTTAGCCTTAATATTTTCAAGTCTGATTCAGGTTAACTTAACCTTACGCAAATCGGATTTTTAAATGTTTCGGTTGGCAATAATCCGACCCGTTCGGAGCACTAGCATAGAAATATTCAAAGCCAAATAATATAGAGCATCTCATTATAACAGCATGAGTGTACCTTTCGTTTTCTTACAATTAACTAGTACTCTTGAAAATTTTTATAATTTTTACTAGATAACTTTAACGCTATCCTGATTAACAGATAACGGTCTTTTAAAATAAAAAGTTATTGACTTTGATCAAACAGAACTTTTTCAACATTATCATGTCTTTTAACTAATTTAATATGATACTCTTCGGGCCAAACAGTGATTCCTAGACGTGCTTTGTCTAAATCAATTGGTATTGGCTTTCCATCTTTGTCTAATGGTGACGCATTTTCTATTTTGAAACACCAGAGAAGACGCGAAACTGCTAATAGAAGTTCTAACTCAGCCTATGTTTAATATTTATGAAAAGAGTAATTAAAAACGAAATTTTGCAAATTAATAATAAATTTAAATTTTAAAATTTATTGATGATTTTATTCATACGTACTAAATGAATACCAGTACAAAGCCTTCTCCCAGCTCCAAAACTGAAGTGATCTCTACTTTCATAATTTCCATTTGCTAAAATTGCGCTTCTTTCAGTAATTCCTAAAAATCTTTCAGGTTTAAATTCTTTAGGATTTTCATATCTTTTCTCATCCATATGAATTCCATATACATTTAAAATCACAGCAGAATTTGCAGGAATATGATATCCATTATATTCATCATCCTCTTCAATATAATGAGGTATACCAATATGAGTAGGCGGACAGTATCTTTGTCCTTCTTTAATTATAGCACATATATAAGGGATATTTGGTTCATCAGAAACTGTTGGTAAACGAGATTGACCAATTACTCGGTCAAGTTCTTGATGAGCCTTAGACTGAACTTGAGGATTATTAGCTAAAGCAGCTACGATCCATGTTAAGCTTGCGGAAATTGTATCCTACAATTTTAAATATTTAAATATTGATATGTAAATTTAAAGTCTATGTAAAAAAAAAAAAAGTTTATAGAAGCTTATAGAATTATAGATTACTTACAGTTCCAGCAGAAAATATATTATCAGTCATATGAGTAATATCTAGTTCATCTAATATACCTTCGTCTACTTTTTGAAGTAAATCTCTAATAGCACAAGGTTTCTTCTCTTTATCATCTTTAACTTCATTAACAAAATTTCCATAAAAGGTTTCCAAAATCTTTCTATGTTCGATTACTTTATGATAGAATTTATTACCCGAAAACCACCTCAATATTGGAAAAAAGTCACCTAATCTATTTGTTACTTTAACAAATTCTAAGTGCATTTTCGTAAATTCTTCAAAATATTTATATGATGGATCTTCAATACTTTCTATACGTCTGGCTACACATATAAGAGTGATAATGTTCAAAGCTGCAAGTTGAAAGTGCTTTTTAGGATAAAAAGCATCATTTTTGTTCATTGAAACTTGATAAAGGTTTTGCATAAGTATACGATATTCCATGTCGATTAAATCAGATTTTTCTTTTACATTCCGTTGACCTAGAATTCCATGCACTATAAGTTTTAAAGGTAAAATTAAATTAATGGAATTAAAAAAATATAAAGGAATAAAAATACTGTATTAAAATTACATCAGTTACTCACTGATAGGTGTAAGCTTTCTATATCTTTCGTTGTATGAACAACCAATGAAACCTTTACTTCTTGACATTACTTGGTAAAAGTAAAAATTTGGCATACGAGATGAATACTTTCCACCACCTATTAAAGAAAATTCAAAAATTCAAATCCAGAATTATTGATTACCATATTATACACAAAATCAATTTTTTAAAAATTTAACTTACGCTTTTGCAAAAGTTCAGCAGCAACTTTATCACTAGTTAATATAATCCAATATTGTTGACCCATATGTATACCATAAATATCACCCAAACTTTTCGCCCATTCTGTAAATCTTTTGAAATAGTAAAATTAATTAAATTTATTGTACTTAATTATTAATTAATTTTATAGCTCATTTAATCTCTTGCCTCTTATGTGGTTCTGATCTAGTCTGATAAAAATGACCTAAAAGGCAAATCAGATTTTAAAGATATATTTTTAATTATCAAATATCACGTCAAATAAATTACATGCATACCAGTATAAAATTTATAACCCGGTGGAGAAGGAAGTTTTCTAAGACCACGTGGAGTACTTGGTTTAAAGAAATAATACCCCACGAGACACGCTAATAAGAGATACACCAGCAGTTGAAGCATTTTTTATATAGAATTAATATGTTTATCTTTTATATATATTTATTATGTATTTTATTATTTTGAAGTTAGTTTACGATAAGAAAGCGTGTCTTACATAAGAGTTAGGGCTCTGCTGTTCATGATGCAATTGATGCTAAATTTGCATTAAAACCCTCTGGTATAGCTATATCGGGTGATCTCGTGTATCAATAGAATTGCGAATTTCTTATCACGGGGTCACTTGATAGCTTGCGTATATATTAACCAGAATTGGGATTTGTGCGGATAGACTAATTTATGTCCAGAGGTTTTGTCAACAAGTACGTATAATGTGGATATATTGGACACATCGAGTGAAATGAATTTTTTAAGAAAAATGATTAATTGAACGAAACTATTATAAATGAAACTGTATAGTTACAAAACTTATTAATATCACCGATTACGACTCAGTCGCGCTGAACTTTATATTGTCGTTAAGTTACAACATTAAGTCTGCGCCTATGAAATCTTGTATATTGTGTAAAGGCAAATCTTTATAAGCTTGAACCACAAAATTTAGTGATTGCCGTGTTCGAAATACAGTATTTCAATTGCAATTTAAGATTCGTAAATAGTCTCTACTCACTAATTTAATCACTAAAGAAATAGTTATCGTGAAAATTTATGTGAAATTTCATAATTTTTTGAGGTGCATTTTTTTTTATTTGTCCGAAGCGGAATAGAGGATTTTAACTGTTCAGCAGGGACACGGAACTTGTGCGATAAGAATTTGTAAATTATGCGTGCAGTATATATAAGATATTCGATTTATTGATAGTACGATTCAATGAGTTACTAAGCAAAAAAAAAAAAATACAATTTTATCTCGTAAAAAAAGAACCTTGCAAAATTTTAAATGTTGCGCTCAATTAAACAAAAATGATCCGTTTATTTTATCGTTAGTTAAAAGATAATTAATTAAAAAATATTGATAAAATCTAAAGTAAAGGGGGGGGGGGGGGGAGATGGGGGGAGGTAAAATTTTTTTTAATTTCCAGAAAAAAAA